CTTGAAATACAAATATATGAATAAATTATCAATTCTTTCAGTGATTCTTATTCTTGAAAAATAGCCATAAATTAAAGTTTCAATAAAAATAACTCTAAATATACTACAAAAACAGTCCTAAAAATATCACTTATTATTGTATTTACAAATTCAATGAATGAATGTGTTGTCAATCTAACTGTAAGGCAGAGCTAATTTAACTTTTTTATTTCACACTCTTATACTAATGCTAATTAAACTAATAACACGTTTAATGTGTGTTTCCAGCAGTTTATACTGTATTCGTATACATTTCCATGCATTCAATGCCTATGTATTCGTCAATATTTACAAAATATAGCTATAATTAGTCGTTAAGAAATAATAAGCAAAAGTGTTTCACTACAAAAACACTAAACACGATATATATTTAGTCTAATTCTCAATGACATGAAAATATGTTGTCACTAAATATTGTATTTTTAAACCATTGAAAATAATATTCAACAATAAATGACATCTTTTTCATCGAAAAATGGTTGATTATAATTGCAAATTCAATTGAACGCAAATATCTGAGTCTAGAAAATCATATGTAAAACAAATATTTAAACACAGAATCCCTTTAAACGCAAAATTCCTGTCAAATGAAGCGATAAAAAAAAGTTTTATTGCATTCAATCGTAATGTGATTACAATATACGAGACGTTATTATTAGCGCTTCAATGGGAGAGTGAATGCATTGAATGTGTGATGCAATCAATGCCTTACTGTTCGCCATATTTTAAAAAAGTTTTATTGCATTCAATCGTAATGTGATTACAATATACGAGACGTTATTATTAGCGCTTCAATGGGAGAGTGAATGCATTGAATGTGTGATGCAATCAATGCCTTACTGTTCGCCATATTTGCCGTCAAAATGATTGCAACGAAAATATATTGTGTTTTGTATTGACTTTCGACAGCATTTGGCTAATCATACAATCAATTAGTATTACTTCTCATCCCATTTGGCACTCGTGTCCAACACTTATACTTAAAAAATCACTTCATTTGTATTTATTATATAATTTGGCGTCAATTCAGTGCAAGACATGTCCGGTTAGTATCGTTTGACCACTAATTCACTCGTATTTCCATAGCTTTTGTCGGCATTTCTCATGAAAATTGGGTTTTAATGTGATTTTCATTTGTGTTTCTCTTATCAAACATTTCAATCGCTTTTCAAACATGTCTTTAGTCTTTGGATTTTACTTTTCATTTCATTTTTGTCTTTATATTCACTCAAAATCTATCGATTGATCAGTTTTTCTCACTTGTCTTTGGTGTCAATCATTTGATTCATGAGTTTTCACCGATTATTCACTTTTTGGTTGAGTTTTGATTGCAGTTTGTATTGAAATGTATGGCAATGAGGGAGAGGGGGGGTCGACACATGCATCCCATCTATGATTGTCTCAATTGATCCCTAATTATCGCTGTTTTATCACTAGATTTGAGTCAATTCGTGGTGGCCTTCGACGACCTCCTGAGCGATGCGTTCGTCACTTATGTGTCCCTTTCGGNTGAAATGTATGGCAATGAGGGAGAGGGGGGGTCGACACATGCATCCCATCTATGATTGTCTCAATTGATCCCTAATTATCGCTGTTTTATCACTAGATTTGAGTCAATTCGTGGTGGCCTTCGACGACCTCCTGAGCGATGCGTTCGTCACTTATGTGTCCCTTTCGGGCAAAATCGGTGGCGCCGTTAAGACCCACTCGGATATGGTGTCCAAAGCCGTGCAAACCCAGCGCCAGTTCCTCGTATTGGCGGCGAAGTCACGAAAACCCAACGACGCGACTCTTATGGCGCTCCTGAAGCCCACGTCTGAACAGATCACACAAATCCAAGACTTCCGCGAAAAGAACAGAACTAACGAACACTTCATCCACTTGTCGGCCATCTCGGAGTCGATCCCAGCGCTGGGTTGGGTGACTGTGTCTCCCACTCCCGGGCCATACGTCAAGGAGATGGTGGACGCCTCGCAGTTCTACACCAATAAAGTGTTAGTCAGTTATAAGGAGAAAGACAAGACTCACACGGATTGGGCCAAAGCGTGGCTCTCGTTCCTGACGGGCCTCCAGGCGTACATCAAACAACACCACACGACTGGCCTCTCGTGGAACCCCAGAGGCGCCGAAGCGACCGCCCAATCGAATGGGTCGACTCCGGCGGCTGGCGGTCCCCTTCCGCCTCCGCCCCCACCGCCCGCCGGCTTCTTCGACGACGCGTCCAAAGGGGACGACAGGAGCGCTCTGTTCGCGTCGCTCAACAAAGGCGCGGACGTTACCAAAGGGCTGAAGAAGATTTCATCGGAACAGCAAACGCACAAAAACCCGTCGCTCCGGGCGTCGGGTGTCGTTCCCGATAAGCCGGCGGTGGCCGCGAAGCCGGCAAACTTAGGGCCACAAAAACCGGCGGCAAGACTCCCACCGAAGATGGCATTGGAGGGCAAGAAATGGATGATTGAGAACCAAATCGGACAAAAGAATCTGATTATAGACAACACCGAAATGAATCAATCGATTAATGTCTATAAATGCGAAGACTGTGTCCTTCAGGTCAAGGGAAAAGTGAATTCAATTACAGTCGATCTCTCGAAGAAGTTCTCCATTGTCTTCGAGAATATCGTGGCAGTCGTCGAGTTTATAAACAGTCAGAAAATTCAGGCGCAGGTATGTCACCGCTCTTATCATTGGTTTGTTTTGGATGTCTTTCTAATGGGTTGTCAATTGGGATGTATAGGCGATGGGAGTGGTGCCCACCATAACCATCGATAAGGTCGACAACTTTGAGCTCTATTTGGCTAAAGAGTCGCTTCAGTGCGAGATTATTAGCTCTAAGAGCTCCGGCATTAACATATCGGTGCCCGACAGCAAGACTGGCGATTATGTAAGTCTAGTCACTGAATGTGTTGTGAAATATGTTGTTATCGTATAACTAAATACGGATAATGTGTTTGACTGACAGGTCGAGCACCCGATTCCCGAACAATTGAAGACTGTATGGACGGGAAAGGGCTTCAGAACCGATGCTTTGGAGAGCGCTTAAAACCAAAGCAAACGTCTCTTAAGAAATATTTATACGAAACACAAATCATGAATTTGTGTGCTTTTTATGCATAAATTAATCGCTTTTTACTACTAATAATCTATGGATTATTCGCGAATAAATTTAAATATTTTATTTTCTATGTCTTATTTATGAAACACATATAACTAATGCTCAAAACCAAAACCATTTTATTATTTATTGATATAAAGGATATAATAATAGTCTTGTATTTTAATTTTACAAAAAAAAGTATTTTAACGCTTAAGAAATGATGTAATGAATTGTGTAATGAATGTACAGAACAGTTGTGATGAGAATCAATTAAAATGCATTTTACTAATCAATCAGTCATTCAATCACTCGTTTGTTTAGCCATTATTTGCAATCACAGCAACACTACTGTTACGGTAGGATTGACTGCTGTGTGGGTTGTGTTTGAAGTTTTGTTTGTTTTTCTATTGTAATGATTGGTGAGTGAACTGCAACGGCAATGACTCCCTCCCCGATTTCCTACCGGTTCTAAGCCGTTGATAACTTCTCATCCCTTTCCTCATTACCGGTACATCTTAGGGATAGAGAACACAGACTTTCGCATACATTTCAGTTACAGTCAATTGATTGGCATAACTGTCCGGTTGGCATAAGTTGCGTTCAATATTTGGTTTGAATGCAATGTTAACGAAAGGCGTATCACAAAAGGCATTGAATATATTGAGCCGATTGTATGGCTAAACAAATAGGAATTATGTTCAATAATCAAAGGAGTGGTAGTTTAAACAGACTTTACATAATACTATTCAATACTATTCAATAGACAACTGTCAACAATGATCCACAGTTTAAGCTAATATTTATTATCCAACAAATAAATGAATGCATAGAAAATCATTGAACTATAGATTAAACAGTTTTGTGTAAATTTAATAATTAATTAAGTGATAAATGAAAATAATCGCATTAAAGTGTTTGCAATATTTTCAATCAGTATTAAGTGGTTATCAAAAAATTATAAATGAATTAAAAATATAAGAATTTTAGACTAAAATAATGATGTCATTGGAGACGAAGATTTGGTTGAATTCGTTTTGCATAGTATTGAGCGCCGACTCGACCTCCTCTCGGGTGAAGTTGAGCTCCTTTTCCTTGAGGGCCGAGTCGTATATCTGTTGGACAGGCATTGACTGTGCGTTTGTTTTGCGGAACTCTTTGGACAAAAAGGATCGGAACTGTTTGAGCCGTTCATCACTAAGTCTGGGTAGAGTAGACTCAGCACTCGGTTGCGACCGTTTGGTGACGGGTCGCACCTCCGGCTCCTCCACCTCCTCCTCATCGAACTCGTAGGGGTCGTCTCCCGTACGCTCTCTCTTGACGCTTCTCTTTTGCTGAGATCTGGGCGCCGGCTCTTCGTCCACATCCATGTCCTCCTCCTCTTCGGACTCCTCATCGATCGCCTCCTCGTCCTCCCTCTTCCTCTTCTTGGGTTTACTCAACACAGTCTTGAAGATAGCGAACTGAACCAATTCGACGGCAGTGTTCGCGTCCTGTATCTCCACTTTATTCGAGAGCCGAGCCCTCGCGTGAGCCGTCGCCAAACGAATCAGCGTTTCCAGTGTTCGAGCCGTTACGGGTTGGGTCTGCGGGACAGGCATTCAGATCAGTATTATTACGAACAACCGTAAGAGGCAAGTCATGCGTGAGTGGCAATGGACACTAACCCGGGCCACATCCGCCTGGTCTGTCTCTTGGGAGCGAAGTTTGGTGTACTCCTCAGCGATCAGTTCACACGACTCTTTCGTGAGCTTCGGTTTAATGGCTTTCGCGATGTGAATGTATTTCTTCATGAATTGAATGCTTACGATCTTATCGCTAAAGTTTCGATGCAATCACAAAACCATTACAACTCTTTCAAAGATAATTTCCAATTAAACTCACGATTTATTTCGGTTCCCGTGAAGCAAAGCGTCGTATTTCTCATAGATAGGGGTCTCTCCGTCCTCTTTGTCCAAAGCCTCCGAGTCTCGCGTCGATAAGAACTCGGCGTTACTCATGATTGGAAGTGCTGTCAAATGGCAAACATAACAAACATTATGACAATCGCTTATTCATTAACGCAACAAAACTCGAGTCTCACGCTCTCCGTCCTGTTCTCCCGGAGCTCTATAGCGATGAATGCGGACGACGTGATCACTGATTAAAGTGTCGGTTTGGACATCATTTTTGTCTAACATAATGAACAATAAGTCGAAACGTGATAACAGCGAGTCTTGGAGTCCAATGTTCTCCATCGGAGTCTTGTATTGATCGTACTTTTGACACAAAATTAAAGTTAGAAACAGTAGTAGATTTAAATGGTGTCAAAGCCTACCCGTCCATAAACAGGGTTAGCGGCGGCCAACACAGAGCAACGAGCGTTAAGTTTGGCGTGAATGCCAGCCTTAGTGATGGTGACCCTTCCCTGCTCCATGACCTCGTGAATGGCTGTCCTGTCGATGTCCGCCATCTTATCGAACTCATCGATACAAACCACTCCCCTATCGGCCAAAACCATAGCTCCGGCCTCTAGTCTGCGATCGCCGGTCTCGCCATCTGTGGTGACGGCAGCCGTCAGACCTACTCCTGAAGAGCCGCGACCTGTTGTGGCCACAGCTCTGGGCGCACAGTTCAACACATATCTCAAGAGTTGAGACTTGGATACCGATGGGTCACCGATGAGGAGAATGTTTATGTCACTAGAGATGTGAATAAATGAATGTCAATTTGCATACCAATCGTGTCTTACCCTCGAAGTCGAGTGCCATTCGGCAACACCTTTTCGAGTCCACCCAAAAGCATACAAAGCAATGCCTTTTTGATGTACTCGTGGCCATAGATGGACGGCGCCAGAGATCGCGCCAGTATTTCAAAGACATCGTCTTTCCCTCTCTGACGACTGAATTTCTTGCATTTGTTGAAGTCTTCGGGCGTTATATCAGTGGAAACCTCTTTAGACAATAGGTTTACATTCGTGGACAGCATTACAGTGCGAAACGTGCCGTTCGTATAATAACCTGTCATTCATCACAAACATTACAAACAAATCCAAGACTTTGTCGTCAAATCAATTCATACCCTGTTTTGATGGCAGACACCGGTAACTGCCGACCACTTGAATCCTATCGCCAGGTTTGCACTGATCGACCAAATCGTTGTCGACAATGATGTCGACAGCGCGGGGCAGTTGACCGGCCGGTGCCTTCTCGGGCATCTCCTGAATGGTGAACGTCTGGTGGTCTTTATAGACCGATAGCCCGAACTCAGTCTCCAAGAGGTTTCCGTCTTCATCTTTGGTCGGATACACTGAACTCGAGGGGAAGGCGTCGAAAGACGTGAGATCCGTATACTTGCGCTCAATGGTCTTCTTGGTTGCGGGACAGTAGTGGACACTTCGCACCACTTTTGGCCTCACGAGTGAGCACTTCGTCACAATGCCCTCAACGGCCACAATAGAGCCCAACTGTCGCGACGACAACGTGCGGGGCGTCACGTGTTTCGAGCCGAAGCTGCCCTCAAAGCCCACGAAGAACTCGGAGTACTGTTTCGAGTACTCGGCGTTAGTGTTGGTCACGAACTCCTTGAGCGCCCTTTGGATGGCTATTATCTCTTCGACCGAATTGTTCAGCAATTGGTGCACTCTTTCGGGCAGTTTTCGCCGCAAGTCATTGATGTCCACAACGATCCGACACTCGTTGGCTTTGATCATCGCTTTGGTCGCATCCGAGTACACGCCCTGATCTGACTGAACACATCCAACACATCCACACCACTGTTAGCATCAATTGTCGACACTATCATCGCATCGCTACTCACGTCATCGTCCAAGAAGTCGAGGTATTGCGCCTGAATGTCACGCAATCGTTGGTCCAACTCAATGTCCCCCATGTCTACTGTCACCACACAATTGGTCCGCGAATTGAATCGACAATTGATTTGAAAACTGAAAACAAAGAGTGATTTAAATGTCTTTCGCCACAAATGACAGCCTTTTTAAAAGTCACACAAAAAGCAGTTTTGGAGGGAAACCACTGCTAAAGAACTTGTCATTCATTTCATTCATAACCACTCACTTGTCTACCGGAGTGACAGAACAATATTTTCTATGAGACTGTACTCACAATTCAGAGTGTTTTTGCGCCAAAAGTTTAAAGCGCGACAACAAATGACGACAACATATGGTGTGAATCACTGCAACCCTTGCGTCGCAAACACAGCACTAAATGACTCATTGAATGAGCGCTCGCTTTCACACGTTTTTCATGGGTTGCGATGCGTTTGACGTTTGCGTTGTTGTGAAAGCTTTTAAAACGTGTGACGAATGGCAGACCAGTTGTAAACAAACGGCAAACACGTGACTATAAAATGGTTCAGTTTTGGGCACTATTTTGACGCACATTTGCATCGATTTTGGCGTATATTTCACGCATTCAGTGATCTTTCAGTCAATTTGTTGTCTAAATCTCATTAGTAATCGATATCCGAGTGAAAGGTATGTATTGTTTGCCATTTGAATGGTGTGTCTGAACGGGCGTTGCGTTTAGGGTTGTGTCGATGGCATCGTCGCGAGTGGTGACAGGCATTGGACGTCAGGTGAAGCCGATCCTGAGTGTGGACAGGGATGACGCCCGGCGTCGCGTGAAGAACCTGTATAAGGCGTGGTACCGACAGATCCCATACATTAAACTCGATTTAGAGCTCCCGGTGTCGGAACGGCAGCTGAGGGACAAAGTGCGACAACTCTTCTTCGACAACAAACACGTCGAGGACGTCCGTGTGATCGACATGTTGGTCATCAAGGGTCAGATGGAGTTGAATGAGACCATCAATCGCTTCAAACAGCACACCCATGTCATGGCCTACTTCAAGGACACCCACAACCCCCGGCCCAAGGACTTCATGTCCAAGTTCTTGAGCGGACACAACGCCGAGTGAT